CGCAAAGTGGCCCGGGGAAGAGGGGGAATATCCCTGGGATTGAGAATTCCCGGGATAAATGGGCCTGCAGAACGGCAAGCCCTCGAGGAAGGGGGCCAACATCCCGATGCTGGGGCTGGACTCGGCGGGGAAATCCACGCTGCTCTACAAGCTCAGGTATAAGGATGCTTTTATAACGCTGCCAACGATTGGCTTCAACGTGGATATGATTGAAGTAGGGAAGGATTTCACGCTGACCTTTTGGGATGTTGGAGGGCAGAAGAAAATGAGGGAGCTCTGGGGCAATTTCCTGGAGGACGCGGGCGGGCTGGTGTACGTGGTGGACAGCGCTGACAAGCGGCGCCTGGAGGAGTCCAGGAGGGAATTTGAGCTCCTTTTAAAGAACGAATCCATAAAAACCATCCCGGTGGTGGTGCTGGCCAACAAGCAGGACCTGCCTGGAGCCCTGAACGCCGAGGAGATCACGAGGAAGCTGAAGATGAAGAAGCACTGCAGCGACAGGAGCTGGTACGTGCAGCCGTGCTGCGCCCTCACGGGACAGGGGCTGCCGGAGGCGCTCCAGAGGGTGGCCGCCTTCGCCAGGCACTACAAGAAGTCCAAGGAGACTTTCATGGCCCTGAAGGAGCTCAACTCCTCTTAAGGATTTCTGCCATCCGCTTCTGGTGACTCTTAACGCACTGTGTTGGACAGATTAAAGCTGGAAGTACTGGACTCTGAAGAACTTTTATACGTAAATATTTATAAGGGACTTTGATAATAATGAAATTCTGCTGTTGTACCTGCAGATACTTGATGTACCTGATGGGATATCTCATACCTGAGATAGGACCTCGTAGCATTTTATTACTATTTTTTTATTTACTTGGGGTTATTCAAGTTGAATGATGAGAAAGGGGCAGTGGAGCGCACGGAAATAAAATGGGTGAGCAGTGTTTAAGTGGCTTAAATCAAATGAAGATTCGATTCCATTTTTTTGAAGATGTAAACCAGCCAAGTCATTTGGTCAGCAGCTGAATCCCCTTGGGTCTGTGGTGATTTCCCAGCCCTGGCCTCTGGAAAATCCGGCAGGGGTTCCCTTGTGCTCCCATTTTTTTGTTTCAGGATTACACCAAGGAAGTAGGTGGGAAGTAGGAAGTTTACATTTCATTCTTACTAACAAACAGACAGGAATGTCAAGTTATAAAAGGGTGAAGCAGCAATAAAATCACCCAGACATACCCTGTTGTCTCATGCACGGGTCATTCAAAGACAAAAAAACATCAGGTGGGTTTGCTGAAATAGTAAACAAGGGGAAGTTTCCCAATAATAGCTGTTATTAATACTGAGACTAATTAATTACCAGGGGCTAAAGCCTCAGTCATGCTGAGACTTGCTAAAAGCAGAGAAAATGTCTGGATTTCTCATTGCCCGCTCTGGTGATTTGGGCTCAATAGAAAATATCATCCTCTGTCCCCAAAAAGATCTTTAAAAGGCATTAATGTTGGTTTTCCAGGCCAAAAAACTTCAATGTTTAAAAATGCGGTATTTCATATAGATACATTTATAAATGTTTGCATGTGTAGAGGGTGAATTCTCTTAATCTGCTCTCGTGTCTGTTATAAAGCAGAATTTACTTCTGTGGCCTCAGCACTTCCTCAGGGAGAAACACTCCTGAGAGATTTAATGAGGGTGCACCAGGTCTCAAATTAGCCGGGAAGCAAGTGGTGAAGGGAGAAATGAAGTTGTAAAATAGACCAGCTCACACAGCTAAAAATGAGAATAAGCTCTCAGGCACACAGGCCCTTCTGCAGGTTACCAAATTACACTAAATGACACTCACATCAACTTGAAGAAATGTTTTACATTATGCTTCAAAGGGAAGGAATAAACTCAATTCCATTCCCTTCACAGAATATCAAGTATTTTAAAATTGCATTTTTGAAGAGCTTGGTTTCCCAGAGAAGTGAAAGCAAGCCTGTTCCACGCACCCAAGCAGACCCCAACCTTTGGGAATCACTTTAAAGATTTAAAATAAATCTCAGTCAGGCTGGCTTGGAGGTGCAGCTTCTCGGAGGAATGAGACGCCTGAAAGTTTCATTTAAAACCTCAGCGAGGCAGAGAAAAGTGACCACCCTTTAAAGGCAGGGCTGTGAGGCACAAAAGCTGATTCTCAGGGAGATAAACGTTCCATTGACACGGGGCATCAATCCAGAGGCAGCTTTGTGGGGCCCAGCAAAAATTTAAATTAAATGAAGATTCGGGCACACGGGGCACCCTCAGCGTGGGACAGAGATGGGGGCACTGCCCCAAACCCGGAGCAAAACCCCCCCTGGCACTGCAGAGTGCCGTGTGCTCCCAGGGGAAGCCTGGGAATTGTTGGATGTCTGATCCCACCGCGTGTTCCGTGGTGAAATCAATACCCAGGGACTTCCAGAGGTTCCAAAGCTTCCAGATCCATCCCTCTTGCAGGGTTGGAACTGCCTGGCTGGACACCACGAGCAGAATTGTCTTGGTGTTTGTTTCAGGAATTCTGACGGTGCTAAAATCCAACTCTCAGCACAGGGATGATTTATTCCAGGATAAATTTGGCTAATTTTATTATTTAGAATTTTTACAGATTACTCACTACATAACGTTTAGGATTTTTGAAGGGTTTGGGATGCTTTGAGACGGTGAGAAATCAGAATCTGAAGAGCCCTGAGGCAGTGGAGCTGAAGTCTGGGAGCTGAAAACTTTTCATGGGATGAAAATCCTTGAAGAGTTGGGGGTCAGATGTTTGCTGGGGTCAGCTGTTTATTTTGCTTCAAATATGGGAATTTTTCCATCAGCTCACCCTGCTGTTTTGCATTTTTAATTGCTGCCTTCTGGCGTTCTGTAGCTGAAGGGCTCAAATCCTTCAGTGTCTGCTCCTACTCCTTAAAAAGTTTGCTGTGCCTGATCCTTTGTGCTGACAGAAAAGTCAATGTGACAAAATGGGAGGGACACAAAAGGAGAAGAATCTGAAGGCCAGGGCCTGCAGTGCCCTCTCAGGGAGGGGTGTTTGGGTGGCAGCATTTAAAGCTGGCAGCCCCAGGGGATGGGACCTGTCCTGTTGGCCATTCCTTGATAAGATCCCTGTGGTTTGAAGTCACATTGAGGTTTCTGAGTTGAGGAATAACTCATGGAGCTCACTGAACATGGGTCCAGTGGGGTGAAATGGGGACGAAATGCCATTTTAAGGCGTGTAATTTAGAATCCAGGAGAAGTGTAGTGTCTAAGGACTACAGGACAAGGTTTCTCCAGATAACTGGTGTTACTCAAAAAGTCTGTCCGTCTTATTTTGGACAAGTAACTGAACCAAAGGAGAGAATTCCCTGTGTCTAAGGACTACAGGACAAGGTTTCTCCAGATAACTGGTGTTACTCAAAAAGTCTCAGTCCATCTCATTTTGGACAAGTAACTGAACCAAAGGAGAGAATTCCCTGTGTCAAACAAGTTCTGGGTGCTGCAAAGGAGGCAGCACCACTCTGAAGAGCTGGGTGC